TGACTGTGTCCTGACTGTGTCCTGACTGTGTCCTGACACTGTGTGCTTCGGAGAGAAATCCGACCACATCCATGAATGCTCCCTAGTTTCAGAGTGGATTAAAAAGCTTTCTGACCGAATGCAGTTTCTCGGGGAGTTGCGTGTATTTTTACACTCCTCAAAGCCCCGGGGCTTTAATTCATGTTCCAGTAGCGTGAGTGGAAAGGCTGTCACTTTTCCAAAGATCAAGTTTTAACAAATTTTCCACGCAAGAAAGAAGCAACCAAACACTCAAATAAATCTTTTTATGTTGGTTACGGCGCAGTGACTGAGCAAACACACAAAACCGTTTGTCTGTTCTGCAGGAACAGAGGAAATGAAGTCAGACAAGCAACACTTTGTTGGAAATGGCTCGTCTCTGAACCTCTTTAACATCCAGTTCCATTTATCCACTCATTCTCTTCAGCTTTAGGCTGAGGCCAACAGTTCCTGAGGGCGTGGCTCACCCTGGACAGTACAGCACTCCACTGCACTGGAGTCATAACACGAGCAGCTGTAAAGGTAATGTGACAAGGTGAGCAGTGGTCTGTGGCAGTGTTGGGTGGAATCAGGATTCACACATCACACCCTGCCTTAAAATAGAAAACATTCTACGCTGGGAGCTGAGCGTGGACACAGGTCCTGCAGCCGCTCTGACCTCAGACACTCACTGCCAAAGGCTCTCTTAGTCAAAGACCTGTATGTTTAACACTTAGTTTCATTTAATTAATTTAATATTTTAAAAGAATTAAACAAAAACACATTTTTTCCGCCCTTCAGATTCACACAGCAGCAACAATGACGGCTGTTAATAACTCTGAATTAAAGCTGACGTCGCAGCGCTGCACCCTGCTGAGCTCGGCGGTTTCAAAGAGAGCTGACCTACATTAAAGGGAAAAGTTGAGACAGACTCAAACAGTCCATGACACGGAATGAACCTCTGAGAGACATTCACAGTCCAGACACCAGCAGGAGCGTGGAGCTGATTACCACCGTCCTCTACTCTGCACAGGAACTTTAGATGTTGAACAAAATGGAGGGAAATGGAAACGGCAAAAACCCTGGTTTATATAATTGTAGTTAGTAGTTTAGAGTAGAAGATCTTTGTGGATGTCAATCCTCTCACACTGCTCAGACTTTTTGTTACGTGTTACTGGTGTGTGGTTATACCTGTGGGGAAGACAGCGGGGACGTGGTCTGCATCTCCAGCCACCAGGGAGGGCACAATCCAGGTGAAGCCGTAGCCAGTGAGGCCCACAGAGTGGGCCACTTCAAAGATGGTGCTGGCCTCCTCCTTGGTGCAGTAGAGCAGGATGACGGGACTCTGCAGTTTCTTCATCTGGTTCTGGATTTTGGAGTCGCCGTCATCCACAGACATGTCCAGCAGGAGGACCTCCTCGAGTTCCCATCCCACGAAGCTGTTCTCAATGGTGCTGCGAATCTGGAGAGATGAAGGAGATGTGATTTCAGCAGGCGTAGGCTGCACAACATTCAGTGGGATTGTTAAAGAAGACACTGGAACAAAAGTGACTAAGATAAATCCTCCCCCAAATCCCAGACTGCAAAACTGTTATGCCTTCACACGAGACAAAGGTTTTTCTCAAGATCTGACAAAAACCCGAGCAGGTGTTTCTCTGTCATGTCCTCGTCCTGTTTCTCCTCATGGACAACTGACACCAGCTGCTGTATTTACATTTCTCTAAACCTTTTTTCATTTGTTGGACACATTAAAGTCTGGTCGTCACACACACACTGAGAAGATCCCTGCTTTAATCCCAGGTGGATTCTGCATGTCCTCCCTGTGTTTCCCATGATGCTCCATGGTTTATCCCTCACTTCAAAGGTTCATCTGACTCTAAATCGATCGTAGGTGTGAGTGTAAATAGTTGGTTGTCTCAATATGTGGTCCTGTCATGGACTGTCCAGCCCTTGCCCAGTGACTGCTGGAATCAGTTGGAGAAATGGATGAATAAATATCTGAATTTGATTCAGATCTCATCTCGATGTACCTTAATATTAGATAAAAATATATTAAAAAACAAACTTAGAAGGACACAAATGAGGTAATCCTCGCTGGAAGAAAATTTCACAGACATAATAATATCAAATGTCTCTCAGTGTCTCCCAGTGTCTCTCAGACTCAACAAAAAATAACAAAAGTGAAGACTCAATAAAAAATAACAAAAGTGAATCTCTAATTTTCACAGAAGAGGTTTTTGGCCATTAGTGTAATTACTGATGAGTATCCTTGTACTTCTGAAGATCCATTTCAGAAGAAAAATGAATATTTCCAACATTATAGTCAATTTGTTTTTTTCTGTTTTTTTTTTCACCTTGTTGACAAAGTCCTGGTAGCCGGGGTAGTAGGTGGTGACGATGGAGAATATGTACCAGTCATACTCCTCCATGATGTTCAGCATGACAGAGGCCTGCTGCTCGATGGATGGTCCGAACTGGAAAAACATGGAGTTGTCATCCTGGAGAGCAGAGAGAAAAAAACACAAACACGGTCATGAGTCAAACAGCAGGAGAGACAGAAACATGTCGCCTCACAGACTGTGTCATGTGACCGTATGTTTCAAACTTCGGTTTTAAAATCAGAGTTATGCTCAGGTACTCTTCAGGCTTTCTGGCTGATTTGAGGAAAATTTTACCATGTGGATTTTTTGATGTTGGGGAACGGCAGTAAATTAGACCAAAAGTTTCATTTTTCATTCACTTCTACTATTCTTTTCAGGCTTACTTATTTAGGTTTGGAGGGCAGTGCAGTTATTAGTTATTAGTGTCAGACGTTTGACGGCCATGATGATCTGATGTTAAACGTTGGCTACCAAATGTGCAGTCGAGACATTTCTGTCTAAACATTTTCTTTGTTTGGACTGACAGAGAGGAGGCGACTTTCAGGATGCTGACGACTACTGTCATGACCTGGTTTTGGGGGGGGGGGTAAATCAACCATGGAAAAAAACGCCAAGCAACTCATCAGGACACAGTTACGACGGATGAGTCACAAATGTTTATGTCCACAGAACAAGTACCAGACGTCAGTGCGGAACATTTCCCCACTGACGTCATTTTAACGTCTACCACTGAGTCCATAGAGACGTTTATGGTATTAAATACAATCACCAACATGAGCATTAAAGATCATGACATCATCACCTACAGAGAATGAGGATCAGTTTAATCCAAAATAAAAAATAAATGTCATCATTGTTAGTGATTTATAGAAGTTTTGTTTCTTTCGAAACAATTTCTTTGTATTAAAAACAAGACGATTTTCTAAAATAAGTGACTCATTTGTTCCATTCATTTTTAAAAATGCACAGCTTTTTTTTATTCTAAGCCAGAAGCAGTTTCTAGCTATTTTTAAAAGAAGTTATTAATATTTAATTTACATAAATCCCATTTCATGGTCAGGTTTCACAAAAACACGGGCCACAAACGCACCAAACAACACCTTCAAGGCTTCAACTCATTTAAAACTGTGTGCATTGAATAAATAATTCTGCCCCGCTGCAACATCTGTGCCCAGAGATAGGATCTGTGAGCAGGCACGGTGCCAGGATCCAGCTGCTTCACAGAGTTCCCACAAACTGAGCCGACTCCACGGACAGATAGAAGTTCATGTCCTCCTTTAAAGATCAGCCACCAGGCGATGAATCAATCCTGATCAAACAGTGGGAAGTGATGAGGTCAATTAACTGACAATAAATATGTTTTGTGTGAGTTCACAGCATTTGGAGAGGTTTTTTGTTTCTGTTTTGTACGATCTGTAAATTGCGATGTTATCCCCCGTTTGGATGTTCTTGAATTTTCATCGACATTTTATTTTGAAGGGTCTGCAGTCACCTCTGGACTGTGAGGTCACCAAACCAAACTCATTATTTGCAGTGAGTAGGACATTTTGTATGACTACATGAAGCTTCTTAATGGCGCCTCCCATGGCAGCCTGTGTGGGTTGCAACGACTCGCTCTGTGAATTTCCCCAGTGTGAAACGAAGGAAAGAAGAACGGAGTTCAATTTCAATTCACTTTGTAACATTTTCCACATTTGTCCCACGTTGGGACGTCTTCTACTTGTTTATCAACACTTTTTGATGCATAAAGAAGAGGACGTGTTTATCCAGGACCATGTTGACTCACCTATGAACTCCACCTTTCACGTCCCCTGTGGATCCACTCCACACCTGCATGCACTGCTGCACTCTGTTTGTGTGCAGTCTGAGGTCCACGCACCGGCATTTAAACATCTGCAGAGGCCATGCACGTGTGTGCAATCAGTCACACATGTTAGTCATGCAGGACGACTGTGAGCGTTTCTCAGGTGAGAGGCCCCGCCTCCACTCCACATCAAAGCACCCCCAGCCCACCTCACCCCCTCCTCTTTTCTACCCACGGGGGTAGATATAATGTGTTACCTACTTTTCTCTTTAATGAGTTTAAAACATTGCAGTGTCAAGTGGTGCTGGAGGAACGAACGGCAGAAATGTGAGGGCGGTCTCTCCGTGCGTGTGTGTGTGTAGGTGTGCGAGTGTGTGTGTTTGTTGTTAAGCTGAGCATGACATTCTAATCCACACTGACAGTAAATAGACTGTGCTCAGT